AAAGGGCCTTAAGGTAATATGCTAATATCCTGCAGGAAATGAAGAACCACTGAAGGGTTTTAACAGGGTAGTTCAAAGAGCAGAACTGTGGCAATGGTGTGGGAAGGGTGTAAACTAGAGGCTCAGAGACGAGTTAGGAGGGTTTTGCAGTAATCCTAGTCAGATGATGCACTGAACTCAAACTGGTAGCTAGATGGATGAGTAGAAAGATTCAAGAAATACAGACGCTAAAATCAGAAGGGCTCAGTAATTGAATAAATGGAGGGAGGAAAGAGGAAGGGAGAGAGGAGAGGAGAGATGTGGGATGATTCCTGGTTTGGGCTTAGGAGCTCAAGCGGATGGATGCTGCTGCCCCTAAAACCAGCAATGTAGGATGATCAGGTTCAAAGATGGAGCAAAGGACAATTCAGGGTGTTTTGTTTTTTGGGGGGAGAGGAGTATTTTTTTATTAATGTAAATAATATATACATACATATTTATCAAAACCAATCAAGTACCAATGAACTTATGAAGCCCAACCTCTCAAAAGAAACTTTAGTTATTTCTGGAAGTTATCTCTGTAATTCTAAATGTTTATGCCTCTAATTCTTGATTTATCAATTTCACATCTATGTATTGATACCCTAAAGTAAAAGATCAGGATAGCTTTAGATGGTCTGGCTCAGTGGATAGATCGTCGGCCCTTAGCCTGAAGGGTCAGGTCACATACCTTGGTTGCAGGCTTGACCCCCAGGCCCTGGGCAGGGTGTGTGCAGGAGGCAACCAATTGATGTGTCTCTCTCACACTGATGTTTCTTTCTCTGTCTCTCCCCGTCTTTCAAAATCAATGGGAAAATATCCTCAGGTGAGGATTAACAAAAACAAAAAACAAACAAACAAAAAAGATCAGGATATAGCAATACTTAAAATTCTCTCCTCTCCATTCTCCCTCCTCCCAATGTTTGATAGCTGTTATTAATATTCAGTTCTACTGAGTAGTTGCAACTTTCAATAATACACTTAAACCTCTACTTCTTGCTTTACAGCTTCAGTCACTACTCAATTCCCCTCAATCTAAGAAAAATATAGTAGCACTCCTACCCTTTCTTTCACTTTTCCCAACTCCCACCTTCTGTTATCTACACTTTTATTCTGTCTATTTATTAACAGTGAGCCCTTGTGGGACATGAGGTGGGAAGGCTCAGCAGGAGCTCAGTGGGGACGTCAGGGATGCCGTCCAGGGTTGGGAGCTAGCAGCACACACGCAGTCACTATAAACCACCACAGTGCATTCCGGAGAGTTCACAGAGGGAAGAGAGCAGTGGGCCAAGGACAGAGGCTGGGAGAGCACCAGCATGTGGTGGCAGGCACAGAAGGGCCACCAAAGGAGACAGAGAGGAGAACCAGGACAGACTAGTGCTATAGAAGCCCAGGGCCAACTTTCAAGAATACATATTTCCTGAATACTCACTCAGATATCAGCCAGTATTTTTTGCAATGTCTTCTCCACAGCGGATCATGACTTGATAGCTGGCTAAGTCTTCGACTGACGTAGCAACAACTGACAGTGACCAGATTCACGGTTAGTATAGAAAAAAAAGAAAGAAAACAATTTAAAATCAAGATGAAAATTTTCAATGTTAAGATTTATTCTATTCCTTTTGCGTTTCCCATTTTCCACTTTCTACCCTTATAATTACAAAACAATATTTTCAAAATCTGTTTAATGTGTTAGCTAGTTACGTTTTGAGTACTGAAATCTTAACTATTTGAGTTCACAAATAAACCCCCACATCTCTACAATGGTAATTTTCTTATGGAAGTCTACAAATATATAAAGCACTGGAGTTAATTTCAAATCAAAGACCTTCCTACACTCCTTGTGACGATCATTTCTGCGCACAGGAAGAGTGTTATTCAGTGTGTGTACTTTTAAGATCTGTGAGACATTTTATATTATTAATACACAAGACTTTTGTTTGTTTTGTTCCAATTTTTCTTAAAAGAAATAAATATTGCAGCCAAAACCCTTTTAATTATACCAACGATTGGAGAGCCCATCTATAAAGTGCCACCGTCATAACAATTCTATTTCAATAGTCATAGCTATTCGAGTTAGTATCAACTGCTCAAAAGCATGCAATGTTAGAAACAAATAAATTCCTTGATACATATTATATTCTATATTATATTCTTTTTAAAAATACGTTTTTATTAATTTTAGAGAGAAAGGAAGGGAGAGAGAGGGAGGGGGGAGAGAAACATGGATGGTAGCCTCCGGTAAGCACCATGACAGGGGACTGAACCCGCAACCTGGGCTAAGCGCCCCAATCAAACCGAAGACCTTTTGGTGCACCAGACGACGCTCAACCAACTCAGCCACACCGGCCAGTGCTACACTGTGTCCTAGCACAACAGTGTTCCTATCCTGTAAATCCAACACTACATATTTAATTTGCAAAAAGGATGAACCTAAGATTAGGAAAATGGATTTCTATCTTCCCAGAAGAGGAATCACAAGTTATAGAAAGTAGTATTCAAAGATCTCACTTGGGCAATGGTAATCAATTAAGGGAATCTTAAATCACATGGGGATTGTCAAGGCCACGAGCAGGGCATGTTAAAAACTTTCTTCAATTTTCAGATTGTACACAAAAGTCAACCTCACCCTTTTCTGCCAAGCTCACAAGACGCCCAAACGAACATTTGCAAACACTGAATCTGTCCAGTTTTGTAATTCAGAGACCTCCTTTCTTGAGCCTTCTCCTCCACTGTCCCAGGAGTTAAACAACATAAAGGAACCTCTGAAGTAAGCCCCAAAGGTGATTCTGATGCACAGTGAGGATGAGAACTGCTGTTCTAGAGATTCTGACTCAGTTTGCTTGGGGCAAGATCTTTACCTCAGGCACGTGTACGTTCAAAAAGTGCCACATGTAATTCTGATACACACTGAGGGTTAAGAATGATTGGTACATAATAAATCACCCGGGAATGGAGAAGAAGATTCAGACTATGCAGCTGCTATTACACAATGACCCTGATGAATGAATCCGATCCAACCCAATCCAGTTGAGCAATATGTACCAAAACCTTCAGAGCTTAGCAATGAGCAGGACACCTGACAAAGTTGAGCTGTGATTTTCTTAAAAGAAATATAGTGTAGGAAAGAAGCTGCCGTACATTGGAAACTTTTCTGTGGATAAAATGCAATGGTTTTTATTAATGTTATGTGTCAACTTGCTTGGGCCAACGGATGCCTAGATAGCTGATTAAACATTATTTCTGCGCTGTGCCTGTGTGGATGTTTCTGGAAAAGATTAGCATTTGAATTGGTAGACTAAGTAAGCCAGATGACCTTCCCCAATGTGAGTGGACATCATCCGATCCAGTGCGGGCCTGACTAGAACAAAAAGGCAGAGGAAGGCCAGATCTGCTCTCTGGCTGACAGCCTGAGCTGAGCCAGGGATCTCCTTTGCCCTTGGCGTCCCTGCTTCTCAGGCTTTCAGACCCAGGCTGGCATCTACACCATCGGCTCTCCAGCTCTCAGCCCTCGGAATTATACCACCAGCTTTCTGGGGTCTCCAGCTTGCAGATAGTAGGACTTCTCAGCCTGCAAGATTCATGAGCCAATACCTTATAGGTCACACACACACACTGTTTCTCTCTCAAGAACCCTAATACAGTATTCAACTCAGCTCACTTTCATAAACATTTATGGAGGGATCATGTCACATCTGTTTATAGCTTTGATTACTACCTAAAGTATTTAAAATAAAATCTGATCTCCTCACCTTGGCTCACAAGGTCCTGCATGAGCTCACCAGTCTCTTCTCAAGTCACTCTGCCTGAGTCACTCCCTACCTCCTGCAACACCAGCCTTCTAGCTCCTCCAACAGGCCATGCTGTAGTCCAATCAGCTTCTGGGCACACTGTTGCCTCTGCCAGGACTGCTCTCTGGCATCCTTCATATATGGTAGTCCTTCCGATTTGAATTGATTGTCTCTCCCTCTCATTCCCTAACAGAGTAATTGATTTATTTCCTTCATAGCACTTAGCTCAGGGGTCCTCAAACTACGGCCCGCGGGCCACATGCAAATACAAATATTGTATTTGTTCCCGTTTTGTTTTTTTACTTCAAAATAAGATATGTGCAGTGTGCATAGGAATTTGTTCATAGTTTTTTTTTAAAACTATAGTCCGGCCCTCCAACGGTCTGAGGGACAGTGAACTGGCCCCCTGTTTAAAAAGTTTGAGGACCCCTGACTTAGTATCTCTTGTATTTGCACTTATTTTCCATCTTTCCCACTAGCCTGTAAGCTTCATGAGAGGCCTCTTTATCTGTCTTCCTCACTATTGTATCCAAGACATTTAATAGACTGGCACACAGGCATTTAAAAAAAAATCTATGAATAAATGATGATTACAGAGATAAACAAGACAGTCTTTACATTTAAGAAGGGTACAACCCATCTGGCATGGCAAATAAACAGAGAAAGAAGTCAAGAGAAAGGAACCAAGTGAGGGGGTCTTAAAGAAATTTCATCCTGCCGGGATGGGAACGGGGGGACAAGGCATTGCGGGCAAGGTCAAGAGCTGAAGCCACAGAACACAAGCATGTAGTACGCTGGCCAAAGTCTGATCTGGCTACAGTGCACTGTGCCAAATGCTAAGAGTCTTAAATGCTTCCAGAAATTTAGATTACAGTCTGCAAACAAGAGGCGTCTAAGTTTTTAAGGAGAAAGGCAGGAAGATCTGTCCTACATAGTTCACCCTGCAACCATGTAGTCCATAGTCCATAATGGTGTGTGTCTGCATTCGATTTTTAAGAGGCTATAGCAACAGAGTATTTCAGATGAAGACAGTCTGCAGCCGGATCAGCCTTTCCCAAAGAAAAGATAAACTTTATCTCTGCTTTAGAACAAGCCCGGGTAGACAAAAATTTGGTTTTCAGGAAAAAATAAGTGTTACAGGTACTAAGCCAGAATTACAGGTACTAAGCCAGAAACTGGAGTTATCCCTCTGTCACTCCTTAGCTAGACCAACCAACAGCGACCAGCAGCTCCCAAAAGGCTGTATTTCTGTGACGATCCCTGATAACACAGGGCACAATCCTCAAACGGCTAGAATCCAATAGTTAATCCAAAAAAAAAAAACAACCACACCAAAAACAAAAACCCTGAATCTCGCCTACCCATCCTTAAGAGGGCGACTTCACCTCCTCTTCAACAGACGTGGCAGCACAAAAAAAGACAGAGCCATGCCACCAGCTGTCAAGGGTGTAAACAGCGCCATTCCTGCCACCATCCTAGACAGTCTCCAGCGCCGAAGGAACCGGGCGGAAGGAACTGGGCATCGAACCACCCCGAGCCGCAAGCGGTGTTTATTTCTGGAGCAGATGCTAGCGATCTGGGCCACCCAAAGCGCGCGTGCAGGAGAGACAGCGGTCACCTGGATCGCACCAACGGAAGTCAGTACCAAGACACAAAATGCAACCTGTCACAGCGAGGAGCAAGGCTGGCAGCAGAACGATGGCTGCGGCAGCCAAGTCCCAGAGGGCGCCGCGCGCCGCCAGGTACAAAGGTGCGCGCCAGTCGCACCTGGGGTCTAGGGGTCGCCCGGCTCCTCCTCGCCGGCGCCCTGCCTGCCTATTCCGGGGGCCCCTGCGCAGAAGAGCGCTCGGGCCAGAGAGGGTCTTTCCAAAGCGGCCGGGGCTGGGGCACCTCGGGTGCAGGCCGGGGGGTGTGGGGTGCAGGGTGCGGGGGTCGTGGGGGCTGCAGAGGGAAGCAGTACCTCCCTCGCCCCGGAAATGACCCTCATCGATGTTTTATAAAAAGGAGTCTTATGACATATATTTTCTACACCTGGCTTGTGTCATGAACCAGAAAACCCCTGTGGAACCCCTTCCAAATGAACTGGCATTTGTTTACTGCATTCTCAGTGATGGCTGCATAATGATCCAGGGTAGGGGGCACCATCCAGGGTTGCCTTCCCCCAACTCTTTACCACTAGGACACATCAGGCACACAACTTCTGGGTCTCCCCTCCCCAGGCTGGGCTGGAGGTCGCGCCCGCGCGGTGGGGTCCCTCTGCGCCCTGAATCCCGGCTCTTCCAGGATGGGTGAGCTTTGCAAACCTGAGGTCGCTGGTCCCACTCAGGTCCCTAAACTGGCCCGGCCCGGGCCCCCTACAGCCTTTGTTCCAAAATTTTCAGCCTCCAGTCCCTCATGCGAAATTTTACACCTCGTATCCTCGAAAGCCTCGCCCCCAATCTCACGCAAAATCCTCTCCGCCCTTGGCCTCCAAATCCATTGCTTCTCTTCGTTTTGCGACCTGGAAACCCTTCCTGCCCCCGCTTCAACCTTCCTCGATCCGCGTGTCCCTTGCGTAGAGCGAGGCGGCGCCCAGCTCCGTTCCACTAAGTAAGGGCAGGAGCGCATAATTTTAACCCCAAAAGGTGAACCGGGACTGAATCTAAGGGTCAGCCGCTGTCACTTGATCGCCCTGGTTGTTTTACAGCAATTGGAGCAATGCAGTCTATAGTCAATGGATTTTTGTTTTGTTTTTGCCAAGGTCTGATCTCGGAGGGGTAAGCATCCAGATGGAACAGGGTGAGTGGAACACCCCACCACCACCACCACCCCGGGGCGTAATTGAGCAGGATCAGCTTTGCCAAGCAGGCATTAAAGCAGGAGTGGGAGAGGGAGGCATGTCATGAATTGTGAGCGAGAGAGAACACCATTTATCTTACCTGATTTCTTATTTTTCTTTGCTTTTCCAAAGGCAGGAAAGCGTAAGGGCTTTGGGGACTGCAGTCAGACCTGTACTTCACACAGGCCATTTACTTTACCAGAAGTGAGATGGTGGACCAGTTAAGAATGCCTAATTCTAAAGCGTGTTTACGCTAAAAACCAGGTGGCTTATGGATGGCAATGAAGCTAGAGATTCAATAAATGTTCATTATTCAAGCCTATACATCCATCCATCCATCACTAAGTTTTCCAAATTTTTCCATGTGCTGGAGAAAGTTTCCTCCCAATTATTTGGAAAAGTGAAATGATCCTCCCACTTCCACCGCCCCACCCCCCAAAAAAATCCCACTCCATTTCCTCAGTTCACCATATCATTAATGCTCTGTGGTTTTGTCTAATATTAATTACCCTTCCCTCCCCCCTCCACAGGACAATATTAACCATGTTTATTTTTGGTATCTTACGACTTTGACCTCCTAAAAATGGTGCTGACTGTGAATAGACTACCCTGCTACGACTAATTCCTAAAGAGAGCAAGCAACTTACTTGGGCGTGCACCTCTCATATGCAAGCAACCACCCCTTTTATCTCACACTCACACACCAAGCTAATACTTCCCCTGCTCTCAATCATCCCAGGGCCAGGCACCAGGCAACCAGAGAGCACCCCTGTACTCCCAAGCCCACATTTATTCTTCCAAACTGTCTTCCCAGGGCAGGCCCCAATAAAGGCTCCAGCCTAAAATTTCCCCCAGCTCCCGCTCTGCCTCCTGACCAAGGCCTAATGCTCCGCGGTGGCCCTGCATGTCCCGGTTGTGCCCCTTCTCCAGGGAAATGTAAGACAACTCTTTCCATGGCAGGGGCTTTGCCATGGGGGCACTCTGTCATCTCCATATGTTAAAGGCCCTTGGATACAAACGAGACACTTCCAGCACGCGGCCCCCTCTGCAGGCTCACTTTTGAAGGTGCTGGGGAGAAAAGGCCCGCAGGGGTGCAGGAAAGCCCAGACTGTTCTGGGTGAGGCTGGCCTGTCCACTTGGCCTGGTCCCTGGGCCTTCAGACCAATCCCCTCCTCTTAGGGCCCGTCACCAGGGGCCCTTGTCACCCATTCTAGAAGCTTCTGTGGCCAGTTTCTCGAGCTCCTGCTTTCTGAGAGACCGCTGCTTGCCCAAAGCTCCCGGGGCCCTTGGAGAGGCAAGGATGTAACACAGGCCAGGGCGCCATCCACCAGTTCGATAGCCTGTGGGGCCGGGGGGGCCACTAGGGTTGGAGTCTTACTGTGTCCTGTTGAGGATTAAACAGGTCAGTCTGCCCACTGTCCTTCCCGTAGTCCGTGGCAGACTTGGGCATGGCTGAGTGAGGGACACTTGGCACGCAGGTTTGGGTGGGCTAATGCTGGGCTATTTGGGGGGAGTCCTGGGGGGAAGACACTCCCCAGGAGGAAGGGAAAGTTCAGTCTGTGCCCTCGCTCTGCCCTGGGCCCTAGGAGGCTGCTGGCTCCTTTGTCTGGTTCCCTTGACACCCGGCTTCCAGATGGCTCAGCCGGTGGAAAGCCATTGAAGGAGATTGGAGAAGGGGCAGAAAAGGGAAGTTAGGGTGTCTAATTCCACCAGCTGGGGTTGGCCATGGCTGTGCCCTGCAGGTCCAGTGACACGGTACCCTCCCCTTGGCTTATTAAATTTTTTTAAACATTTTACATTCGTCTTAGAAGAAAAACCTGAAAAGCAGTCTTGGTAATCAGACGAGACTGGAAGAGACCGAGCCAGTACTTGATAACCTAGATCAGAAGTTCAATGCTGAGCTGTGGAAGTTCAGAAACGACTTGTTTTCCACCCAGGGAGAGGCGGGTGATATGGTAGGTCCATGCAGTTCCACAGGGATGCGGGGGAAATTGCCAAGGACGGAGCAGAAGGCTCAGACCCACCGCCACAGTGGTGATGTGGCGATAACAGCGGTGACGACGCGGCCTTTATCTAGCATTCACCGTGCCCCCGGGTCCACGCAAAGAAGCAGTAAAGGCGGGACCAGAATTGCAACCAAGGGAGCGACCCTGGCCTATACCACATCAGATAGGCCTGGAGTTTGGACAGTCTGGAGTCTGTTACAGTGCCAGGACCCTGACAGCGTATTTTGTCCACAAACACTCTGGTGTTCAGAAGAGTGCTGTGAGGTGGCCAGTGGTCACCGAGGCTCAGAGAAATGATCTTGCCCAAAGTGACAGTGACCGGTGAACAAACAAAGCTAAATTGAGGCTCATTTTCCAGACCTTTTTATAGATCATCTCATCCCCTCAAGTCTCCCACTTGGCTTACAGGAGAAAAAGAGGAGCTCCTCTAAGCATTTTTCCTTCTGAATCCCTCTTACAGGGTCTAGAGCTGGTGGACCCATAGGGAGATTTTTCATGCTTAATGCAGATATACGTGACTGCCCCCAGGAACTAGTTTCTTGGGGGCATTTCATTTGTCGTAGGGGAAAGTGGGGGAGGGAAATGCCTGTGAGTCTGTTCACCCTTGGGTCAGGGGGAAGCCAGGTCTTCTCCTTCTCCTCCTCCCTGTTTTCTGCCCTTTCTCTTCCTCTTCTCTGCTGGTCCTTAATTAAACATTCCTGCCCCAGGTTGAAACACTTAGATGTGGAAAACTGCCTGTAGTGCGCAATCTGACCACCAGGGGGCAGCACGAGACCGTAGCTTTGTCGGTCTGGCCAGGACCAGGTCCTTTTAAATCAGTGATCTGATCTTGGGTTCCCAGGCCTGTCTGCACATTAGAATCATCTGATGACCTTTTGTAAAATCACGGGTGCTTGATGTTATATAATTGGCTTGTGGTCTCCACCTCAAGTCAATTGCATCTTCTATGCCTGGGGGTGGGGCACAGGTGTTGCTAGTCTTTTCCGTTTCTCGGGTACACAGAGTTGAGAACCACTCATGGAGAACATTAAATCCTGAAAACTGTAAAGGCTTTCAGGAATCACCTAACCGTTTTCCCTAAAGAGGTGCCAGAGGGTAAACTGTTCTCTCACATCGGACCAGGGGCAGCAGGAGCAGATGGGGACACCAGCCCCGTCCAGCGTGAGGGAGCTACTCCAGTAAAGGATCAGTTTTGATAAGAGTTAGGCGGGTTTACTTCTTAGCTGACGCCACCTCCCCTGTGCGCTCTGGGAAGCTGTCAGCAATCCGTGGGTGCATTCACAGATCCCAGCAGGCTTGTTTTTGTTTCAGAAGCTGACAAGCTGATGCTAAAATTTATGTAGGAATTCCAGAGCCAAACAATTCTTCCAGAAGAACACAGCTGACAAATGTAATCTGCCTGACTTTAAGGCAATATAAACATGCAGTAGTGAAGTAGATTTAAGTATGTGAAGATTTAATAGAAATCAATAGGATAATATGTGCATAAGGGCTATTGTTTTTCAAGTATTAAAGTGCCAGGGTAATTGGGAGAAGAATGGTGTTTTTAACAGATAGTGCTGGTAAAATGTAGAACCACCAGGAGTTCTACAGCTGCAGGAAATGACTTCGGCCAACAGCCACGTGAGCGTGGAGGACTGGGCCTCAGGTGAGCCTGCAGCCCTGGCCCACACCTGGATCGCACGAAGCCTATGAGGCACTCAGCAGAAGAACCGCAGAAATGGAGACAATAGCTCTGGCTGATTTGGCTCAGTGGATAGAGCATCGGTCTGTGGACTGAGGGGTCCCAGGGTCGATTCCAGCCAAGGGCATGTACCTCGGTTGCAGGCACATCTCCAATGGGAGGTGTGCGGGAGGTAGCTGATCGAT